ACACGCAAGTATATATGTATACTTAATATTCGCTCAGCTCTTTCTGCAGTCTAGTACAGAAATGCTAGGTCTCCACCTTSGCCCACCATAGYCTGGCTGATCGGACCAGGACCACGGCCCACCGCATTGTTATTTAACGGCAGTACCTTCGTTGGTTACGCAACGATAGGTTTCCTCCTGGTAAGCACTCAATCAGGATTTCCTCCAAAAAAATTTCAACCATCATTATCCCGCRGAGTAATTTCACTGGGGCGGGCAACCCCCCTTAAACTCCTACCCCGCGGTCCCGTAGCCAGGTTGCGCCGGCTAGCAGCCATCCAATGGGGTTACGCCCTAGAGGTACTAACTTCTTTTCCGTTAGCTTGGCCTTTCTGCAATATGTCCAAGAACTAGCACAGGTGGTTAGACGGGGCGTCGCAAAACAAAATCACTGGCCCACTGCGTGATCACGCAGGGGTCTGAAGGCAGTTACCAGCCCTACCACAATAGGCCTGACATCCTTCGCACGCTCACAAACAAAATCACCGCTAGGTCCACCAGGCCGTGACCTCTGACTTCATAAGAGCCAGCAGTCACCCACTCTGAGACATCTCTTGCCCTGCACTCATTGCGACTTTCTCAAACATTCTAAACAAAAGTGACTCTTTTCGTCAGACTTTATCACCTATCAAACAACTCACCATGCCATAAATCAGTTTACTCACCTCTGAGGGTCAGTCTTCCAACCATAGACCATCCCCCTTTTCCAAAAAATTCCAAGGGGCTCTCATCATAAACAAAACACCCCCTCTTCCAAAAACCACGAGGGGTCTCGCCATAAAAATAAATACATTCCCTCTTCCAGAAATCATGAGGGTCTCATCATAAACCAAAACACCCCCTCTCTCAAAGTCACGAGGGGTTTCGTTACATCACAAAACATCATAAAACATCCCCCTTTTCCAAAATCTAAGGGGTTTCATCATAAAACAGAACATCACTGAGAGACCATCTTATGGGTCCTCRTCACAACTTAGATAACTTTCACAGACGGACTACGCTTCCTCCTCTTATACTCTGCCTTATCAGCTGCTGTGGGCAGGTCACATAAGTATACCGAGGAGTAGACGGTTTTACTTACAATCATACTCACAGTACCAATAATACACCAGATGTTTTTTACACATCGTCCAAACAAACTCATCATACATCAGAGTACAACCACACATGTGAGAGTGACAAGCGATCGTCATATATATGAATGGTCCCTGAAATAAAACCTCATCTTAATATATACTCACTCAAACTCAAGCCACATTAAACCCATACTAACGACAACCCCTAGAATACATGTCAGATCTGTCTCTCAAAAACCTGTGCGCAKACCAGCTAAATATGTACATGCCTCATCTAAATCACCCTTAACCTCAAGATCCCACTCAGTAGGAACACTAGAGTTCAGGTCTAGACTAATAGCAATCAACACAACGGCCCTCTAAGTCTAAGAGGGTATTACACAGAACCTAAGTTGGTGCCTCACAAGATACTCACGCACTTACATAGGCAAACCGGCGCTATCTCCTCAACTCCTCCTGGTTTTGCCTATATAACTGAGCCCTAAGTCCATCTGCGGACTTCTCTACTATCTTACCCTGTCTATCATACATTTTACCTCCTACCTCTGAGACCTTCCCTGCTGCCTTATCCTCAAGAAACTCGAGACAGTCCAGAGCATGATGCGCGTCCCTCTTGCAGTAGAAACATAATTGATCTACCTTCCTCTTGAACTTCTTTTTCCTGGGCTGAGGAGGTGGCGATGAAGGAGATCCTACCAAGGTACTGACCACCTCCTGCTGCCCTG